TTGTAGTTTTAGTAGAGACGGGGTTTCACCATGTTGACCAGGATGGTCTCGATCTCTTGACCTCGTGATCCACCCGCCTCGGCCTCCCAAAGTGCTGGGATTACAGGCTTGAGCCACCTTGCCCGGCTGTTTGCGTGACATTCTATCAATGTATTGTATGACTAATTTTTCCTTTCCCCCAGGTCCAAACATGACCTATCACAGAACTGTTACTGAGCCTGTCTTTATTTACAAGTTTGATATTTGGTTCACCAGGGATTAATTTTTATTTTGAAAAAGTCACATTAAAATATCATTTGTCTTGATTATGGGGTTTTGGGGTACTCCTACTTCACTTGCTTCACCCTCATCCCAGCCCTGTGTCATGTGGACACTCCATACTTTATGCCACTAATTGTTGGGATCCTTAGGTTGTTTCCAGTTTTCCAGTTTCTCTGTCTCTGTATTTCCAGAATCCAGTACAGTGCCTGGTATCTGGGAAACACTCAATAAATATTTGTTGGATGACTGAATGGATGGATGAAAGAAAGAATGAATGAATGAATTGTGAAGGCAGGAAACACTGCAGTGATTATTCTTGTGCATAAATCTTTGTACACATCCCCTGAAGGAAAAGGGAATGGGTATCAAGAGAGGAGGAGGAAAGGCAGAGGCCTCAATGGAAGGGCAGCACGGGACCAGATGTCCGCAGCATGGAGTTTAGAGGAGGCAGCAGCCTGAGTCATGTGTGTGTGGGCGTGGGGCAAGGCTCTGCTGGGCTGGAGTTGTCCTCTCAGTTTGTGCACTGCCCAGGCCCACCTGGAACCCCCTTTGGAAGTCCCCAAATGGAGACATCACTACCACAGTGTGGCTTCAGCCCAGAGAGCTGGAACCAAGACACTGCCACATCCCAGCTGTGTGACTAGCACATGCTCACACAGAGACACACACACCCAGCCCCGAGAGCCTCCCGCGCACAGGCTGACTCAGGAACTCACTTGGAGATTGGGCTGCAGGCCCGCTGGCTGGCTTACTTCTCCGGGGGCGCCAAGACTCTGTGCCCCCAGTGTAGAGCTGCCTCTCCATAGCAATAGCAACAGGGGATTTTCTCAACCCTAACCAACGTGTGGAATTTTAAAATAGCAAAGCCAGAATCCAAGAGAGGAAATTCTAAGAACATGAACTAAGTCAAAAAAGCAGAGGTGGGTGTTTATTTTCCATCAACTGCTTGGTCCTCTGCCTCCCTCCCTGACCCCAAAGGCTGGGGGAGGGGTCCGGATTCAGATGTCAGCACCACAAAGCTAAAGGAAACCCATCTTCCTGTGTTTGCCAAGGAACAATGCTGGAGAGGCCATTCCAAGGCCTGCACTTTTCCTCTGCACACAAGAATTTAGGTCCTAGTGCATTCCCTGGGAAGGGGGAGCTGACAAAGAACTTCTGGATATAAACATTCCTGTTCCATCACTCAGTGACATTTGGGACACACAGAGACTATGATCCCCTGTGGCCTCGTGTGCTCAGATCCACACTGAGCCAAGCCAGGTGAGGATCTAGTAGGGGGCTTAGAGTCCTGGCCCCACCTTGCAGCTAATCAGCGGAAGGGTCTGGTCTCCTCTACCACCCTAGTGAAAACCTCCCAGCTCTGCTTTCTGTCCCTGCCCGCCGAGCTCCCATCAGCACTTTTCTGGATACTGCCCAAGTTCAGCCTTCCTGACCCTGACCTTCCTTGCTTCATTCATCCTGTTGTCAGCCCATGGGCCAATCTCCCACACTGCACCTGCAAGCAAGGCCCTTTTATGCTCCAATTCCTCCTTGCTCACAGCACCGGGTGCCCTGGATGTATTCCAGGACCTGTATGATGGCCTCTACCATGCCAGTCTCATGTGCTGCATGCTACCACCCCCAAACCAGGGAGGGACAAAAATTAGGAAGTTCCACGACTAGACCCGCATGGTCTTCCCCTTGACCAGGCCCCTCCCCAGGGATGAAGAGCTGCACAGCTGCTTTTTCGGAACCAGACACCAGTACCACAAAGGGGAAGAGGAATCGGTCAATCAGGAAGGTGCGGAGAGACCAGCCGATGTATACAGAGCCAATGTATACACCTACTAAGTGCTAGGCCCCCTGCCAGATGCTTTATGGGGATTATCTGTCAGTCCCCACAATACTCCCTCAGCAGCGTGCTGAGCCCTGATTCTCTTCTCACTCCTCACGGGCCACTGCTGTGCCTCTTGCAGAAGAGGGGCTCCACAGACCAACTGACATCACGGGTGGACTGAGGTGGACACCCTGACCCTTATTGTGACTCAGCTGGGCATTTGGCAGGCATGGGGAGAACCTGGAGCAGACTTACACTCTGGGGGCCAGTCGGATCATAGGCTCTTCCTCCACAAGTTTCCCTCTGTCTAAAATACTCTTCCCCCATCTTTTGGTCTTGCTATTCACAATATGCTCCCTAAATGGGCACATTTTGAAATCTGAACCCTGTGCCCCTTGAGGCTGATGATGAAGAGGGGCAGGTCCTATCTCCCCTTTCAGCTACTGGCCAGGCTTTCCCAGCGCATGAGCGCACCCCTGCGGGCTTCCCTCCCGCCGCACCCCTGTCCGGTGCCTCCTGCGAGTGCCCCTTCGGGGCCCTGTCCTCCACCCGGACGGACGGACGTGCCAGAGGCTCGGAGGGGTGGCTCAGAGGGGGCCAGCGTTCTCCAAGGGGAGGAGAACCAAGTTTTGCGCTCAGAGTGCGCAGTGAACACACTGTTCACATTCCTGCGCCGGCCGGAATGCCGGCCTGGGACCAGCCAAAGGCCGCATTCCTCACGCCGCGGCCAGAGCGCAGCCCCGCCCCGCCCCTCCCGGGCGCTCCCCGCAGCTGCCCGCCCCTCCGGGGCCCGGAGCCCGAGCCTGAGCCCGTGCGGGCGCCCCCTGGCGGCTGCCCCACTCCGTGCCCAGCGCGCCTTTTGGGTCTGGGAGTCCCCTCTCGCTCTTCAGCGGGAAGCGTCCGGCCTCCCCACACGGCTGCCTCCATTGCTGCAGCCCCACTCCTCCGTCGTTTTCCGCTTTGTCATTTGCTCCCAATGAAAACAGGTCAAAAGCTTTCACGGCCCCTCAGAGCCTTGGTGACAAAACACCCCGCCCCCGGGCAGCTTCCTCTCCCGGCTTCCCCGTGCCCCCGGGCGCGGCCTTGGCCCTCTCTAACGCCCGCAGCCCTCCGCGCTCCCGCCGCGGCTCCCAGCGTCCGAGGTCGGCTCCCGCGCAGGCGCCTCAGGCCTCGGCCCCGCTGCAGCCTCGGCCCCGCTGCAGCCTCGGCCCCGCTGCAGCCTCGGCCCCGCTGCAGCCTCGGCCCCGCTGCAGCCTCGGCCCCGCTGCAGCCTCGGCCCCGCTGCAGCCTCGGCCCCGCTGCAGCCTCGGCCCGCCCGCCCGCGCGGCGGCCCTGCGGAGGGCTCAGCGAAGGAAACGCAGCCCGCCCCTGTCCCTGCAGCTCTGGGTTGGAAACTGAGAGAAAATGGGCCAAAGTAGGTCTGCAGGAGTGTCCACCCGCCCCGCCGGATAAAGCGCCGCTCCCCGGTAGTGAGGATCACGCTCCTGGGGAGAGTCGACGGCCCAAGAAAGTCTACAACCACTGGGCTGGGGGTTTCCACGACGGTGTAGAAACCACTCGGATCGCACACACCAGCACGCGCACAGCTGAGCCGACGTGGAAACACCACGGGATCAGGTGAGCAAATGGGCTTTTCCCTAAAGCCAGACCACAGGCCTGCGGAAGGACTCGAGGCGCGAGTCTGCGCTGTCCGCTTGCCCAGACTCCCGGCCAGTGTGTGCCCCCCGGGCGGGCACAGCATGGGCTTTCACCCATTCCCCAGCTTGCTGACGGGGAGCTTTCTCAGTGGGAAAGGTGCCACACGGCCTAACAGTGTTTGCGTGGGGAAATTTGCATGTGTATCAGCCCGCAGAGCTGTGGAGGACTCACCCTGTGGATGAAGTGACAACTGGGAACCCAGCAATGCAGAAAGGCATGCCTGGAACTTGCATTGCTCACCATCCTGAGCGTGGTTTGTGCTGCCAGGAAAGGCGGGAAAGCAGAACCCAGGCTCTCATTGGCAGACACCTGGCCTGGAGGAAGGGTGGGGAGTCAGGAGTGCTGCCTGCCAGGCTGAGCCTGATGGCTGACTTGCCTTGCTTGGTTGGTTTCGGAGCTTCTGAGAGCAGGAAAATAAAGTGGCCCCCTTCCTACCTGGCAGGGCTGTTGCCTGCAATATCTGGAGGTGGGCTCAGAGTGACCAGGTGGCAAGTGGCCATGCAGCCCTGATTTGAGGTTGCAGCCCTGGCTCAAGGTTTGTCTGTTCCCTGTGTCACAGAAGATGGACATTCTAGACATTTTTTTTTTTTGAGACGGAGTTTCGCTCTTGTTACCCAGGCTGGAGTGCAATGGCGCGATCTCGGCTCACCGCAACCTCCGCCTCCTGGGTTCAGGCAATTCTCCTGCCTCAGCCTCCTGAGTAGCTGGGACTACAGGCACGCGCCACCATGCCCAGCTAATTTTTTTTTTTGTATTTTTAGTAGAGACGGGGTTTCACCGTGTTGACCAGGATGGTCTTGATCTCTTGACCTCGTGATCCAGCCACCTCGGCCTCCCACAGTGCTGGGATTACAGGCTTGAGCCACTGCACCCGGGGACATTTTATAATACCCTGGCAGTTCATCCAATGGCAGTGCCACGGATCTGTCTCAGTGGGGTGTGAGCGTACTTGTGAAGATGACTAAGTCAGACACAAGAGAAACCCCCGTGAGGAGCCTATTCATTTTACAGACACTTACGGAACCCAGCGCCTACCTCCAAGAGACTCACTGTCCCCTGAGGGAAGCAGACGCCTGACCATTTCAGTGCAGAGTGATAATTGACAAGGCAGAAGCAGCCCCAGGGTGCAATCCGAGGACCACAACGGTTGCTGGACCAGCCCAGGGCAGAGCAGGACAGGGTGGGCCTTCTGGAAGGAGCTGCGGTCCAGGGGCAGCAGAGGCAGGGAGGAGGCTCTGCCAAGAGAAGGAACTTTCTGGCCTCTACTCTAGAGTCCTGTGTTTGTGTGTGTCTGTGTGACAGAGTCTTCCTCTAACACCCAGCTAGAGTACAGTGGTGCTATCCTGGCTCACTGCAGCCTCATATGCCCAGGCTCAAGCCATCTTCCTGCTTCAGCCTCCTAGTAACTGGGACTACAGGCACGGGCTACTTACTGCACCCAGCCTAGAGTCCTTTTTAGTATTCTGCAGCCAACATGCCATTGTGCTGATATTCTGCTAAAGAACCTCCAGGGATTTGGCCAGTCATGTGGTTAGACTGAATAGCATTGAAGCCTTGCATTCTAAGGTCCCTTTCTGAAGATGAGTGGGATTGTGATTTCCCACTGGGCCCAGGTAGGGATCTGGTTTTGGGGATGAATTGGCCTCAGAAATTCAGCCCCTTCTCTTGGAGTTACTTCAATTCAGGGCCCTCCTCACTGAAGTGTCATATCACTCCCCACACTCACGTGTGTCCAGTGTGTGCAGCAGAACTGGGCTGGGAGGGCTTGGTTCCGAGGGAGGACCAGCACCATCTCCCGTTACCTTTCCTGCATACTCATGAATGGCTGACCTCTTCGGAGCCTCACTTCATCCTTGTGCTGAAAATGAATAAACGACCCCCAGGCCTTCCCTATTCCATAGTAAGAGAAATAAACTCAAATAATAAACTCTTTGAAAGACTAGAGTTTTCAAAAATGTCATTATACAGAATAATGTTTCTCAAAATCCCTAGTTTGTGGGGTGTGGAGGGAGGGGCTTGTTGAAAATCCCTTTTCCTGGGCGAGCTCATAGAGTCTGAGCTGGGAGGCCATAAGCAAAACCCAGGACTCTACATGCTTAAATCTTCCAAAGGAATACTGAATACTGATGCTTTGACAAGAACTTATACAGACAACCTTATGTTTGTTCTCAGGAAGTCCTCTTAGAAAGTTCATTTAACTATCTCAAATCTGTAATCTCAGTACTTTGAGAGGCTGAGCTGGGCAGATCGCTTTAGCCAAGGAGTTCAAGAACAGCCTGGGCAACATAGTGAGACCCCATCTCTACAAAAAATTTAAAAAATTAAAAATCAGCCAGGCATAGTGGCACATGCCTATAGTCCCAGCTACTTGGGAAGCTGAGGTGGGAAGATCCCTTGAGCCAGGGAGGTCAAGGCTGCAGTGAGCCATGATTGTACCACTGCACTCACAGAGTGAAACCCTGTCTCAGAGAAAGAAAATAAATAAGAATCATCTTTCTGTCAAGATTCAGACAAATGCCATGAGAAAAGTCTACCCCTGAAAGGAAGAACTTAAGAAAAGGGATCCAGAAGGAGTCTCCTCCATTGTGCAAGATTGGAAAATGCACACAAAGTCCACACTCGAGGGAGTGCCACAGAACACCACGCAATGGAAGGCTCCAACCCGCTTCCTCCTCCCTTTTCTCTTCCTCCCCTCCTTTCTTTACAAGAATTGGAGACTCATAAAGTAGACCAAAAACAAAAACCACCTGACTTTAAATGCCTCAATTGGAATTGAAACCAAAATCCCCAAGGGTCATAGTTCCAATGCCTAACCCTTGAGCAATGTCAGCAACAGTCTTCACAAATCCAGCAGCTCAGCCCCTGAGCTCCAAACAAAGAATGGTAAAGATGGGGCCTGGCGCGGTGGCTCACCTCTGTAATCCCAGCACTTTGGAAGGCCGAGGCGGGTGGATCACGAGGTCAAGAGATGGAGGCCATCCTGGCCAACATGGTGAAACCCCATCTCTACTAAAAAAAATACAAAACTTAGCTGGGCTTGATGGCGACCTCCTGCAGTCCCAGCTACTCGGGAGGCTGAGGCAGGAGAATCTCTTGAACCCAGGAGGCAGAGGTTGCAGTGAACTGAGATCACACCACTGCACCCCAGCCTGAGCAACAAAGGCGAAACTCCATCTCAAAAAGAAAAAAAAACAAGAACGGTAAAGACAGGAATGCTGAACTGTTGGCTGCAGCATACTCCGGTGGCCTTTTGATCTCTGCCTCCACCTCCAAATAGGGTTTTGCCTGTATCCCGACACACCGTATGCCTGTGCTTCTGTCACTAGCTGTCACTGTATCAAGATACAGTGATTCGTTGTTATTACAGCAAGGTTCATTGTAAGTGATAATAGATATAATTTCCAATAATTTTGACGAATTTAAATTTGGAAGATGGGTACCTTAAAAGGTCTATCTAGAATGTCATTTTTATGACATGAGGCAGCTAAGAGTTCCCACAAGAAGCGGAAGCGGCAGCTCAGGCATCTTCCTCTGGTTCGAATGTGCAGATACTGATCACTTTATCATCAAACCTTGGATTCTCCATAGGAATCCTTAGAAGCTACTTGTCAGTTCCGTGAGGATGACGCTGGTTCAGTTACGTGTTACCTACTTAGGTTTGGTATAGCCGCCATAAATCCCATCCAGCAGGAGCCAGGCCTGTTCCCGTCAGGGCACCCCCGTTCTTCTCTCAGTTCACCACACATTCTTTGCTGACTCAGGACTATTTGAAATACAAACCAGTGACAGAGCCAGCACCAATCTGAATATAAAACATTACAATTAGCTGGGTGTGGTGGCAGGCATCTGTGGTCCCAGCTACTTGGAAGGCTGAACTGGGAGGATATCTTGAGCCAGGGAGGTGGGGGTTGCAGTGAGCTGAGACTGCACCACTGCACTCCTGGTGCGATCAGCCTGGGTGACAGAATAAGATTCTGTCTCAAAAAAAAAAAAAAAAAACAGTGAAGTCACATTGTCATTTATTTACTTATTTTACAGACAGAGAGTCCCTATGTTGCCCAGGCTGGCCTCAAACTCCTGGGCTCAAGCAATGCTCCCGTCTCAGCTTCCCAAGTAGCTGGGACTACAGACACATGCCACTGCATCAGCTCTTATTTTTAGATTAAAATTATAAATATATACATAAACGTTCTATTATTTTCTTTCTGTACCCCAACAGATCATCTTACATACCCCAATTTGGAGGCCACTGACCTAAGCAGGGTCCTCTCACCCCGGGAGCCCATCTCTGAGAAGCTTTCTGCTCTCAGAAGGGCCCCAGCAGTTAGCCATTTCCCTGAAAATCAGGTGGCCAGGCCCTACAACTGGAAGAATTTCTGACAGAGCAGAAGAATCACGTGTTCCAATTCAGACTTCTACTTTGGTATCTGCAACTGCCAACCTCCCCGTGTTCCCATGCCAAGTTGTGGGGGTGAGGGTGGGCTGAAGACTGTGCTGAAGCAAGGTGAGGTGGGCTCTATTGGGTATGAATTTTGTGGGACCCCCTTGTGTTTCCAAGGCCACACGCTCGGGCTGCATTCCTGAGGTCTGTAGGGGAGTGGCTGCGTTCCTGGCCCAAGCATGGAGAAACAGCGGCCCCTGGTGGTCCTGACAGGTAGTGTCTCAGAACCCCAGCTCCTTCCTCTGCTGAACTCCCTTTGATGCTCAAGAATGGTGGCGTAATTATGTATACAGATATGTGTTGGAAAGGCGTGGGGTCGTATCTGGGCTCATCTGTGTGATCTTAGGCAAATTAACTTCTCTGAGTCACAGTATCTTCAGCATTAAAATTGGATAATCAGACCTACTTCTTTTTTTTTTTTTTTT